GGTGAGTTTCTAGCTTTAACTTGTTTTTTTGCAAATTTGGCATTCGCACAATCATGAATATGTGTGCTGTATACGAAATCACGAAGGCGTTTTCTGAATGTGCCGACCTTCAATTGCATTCCGAAACACAGGAAGACGTACATTCATATATTTACGTTTTTTTTTTTTTTTTTTTTTTTTTTCAGTTTAATTCGGTGTATGTTCAACAGAATGAAGATAATCGTTATATGATTCTATCCTACACTGATTCTGTTAAAGTTCTGTGTATTTACTCGTTCCTTTTGTTAGATTTCATGCAGATGTGGAAGGTTTTGTAGGTTTTGAGACTTGAGAGAAAACGGAGACGATGAACAAGTTCAGTTTCATTGCAGTATTCTTGTTTGGGGCTATTTTCTCTCTAGTTACAACTGAACCTACAGAAGATAAGAAGATCTTACTCGATTTCATCCAAAAAATTCCGCATTCTTCTGCGATTAACTGGCGAATGAATTCTTTGGCTTGTAGTAACTGGACTGGGGTGACATGCGATCATCAACGTTCATCGATAATAGCTCTTCGTTTGCCTGCGCTTAGTTTTCATGGCTCTATACCTCCGAACACTCTCAGCCGACTATCAAATCTTCAGATCTTGAGCTTAAGATCCAATGGATTATCAGGTCCTTTTCCATCTGATTTCTCCAATCTGAAAAACTTAACATCTCTACATCTTCAATGCAATAACTTATCTGGTCCATTGCCTTCGAATTTATCCGTCTGGAACAATCTCTCTGTTCTTAATCTCTCCCACAATGGTTTTACTGGAAGCATTTCTCCTTCCATTTCAAGTCTGACTCACCTCACAGTTTTGAGTCTCGCTAACAACTCACTTTCCGGTGAAATCCCCGATTTCTGTATCTCGAGTTTACAAATTATAGATTTGTCCAACAATTTTTTCACTGGAACCGTGCCTCGATCTCTCGGAAGATTTCCTAGGTCGGCTTTTCTCGGAAACAACCTGGCACCAAACTCTGGTTCCTTATCGCTTCCTGCTCTTTCTCCTCAAAAGAAACCCTCAAAACTGAGTGAATCTGCAATCCTTGGGATCGTAATTGGGTGTTCCGTGTTAGTGCTGGGATTACTTGCTTTGCTATTGGTGGTTTGGCATTTGAAGACAGAAGCTAAAAATCAGGATTTGCAGAGAAGAGATAAGAATCAAAAGGGCATGGAGAATTTGCGATCGAGAAGCCTTGGAAATGGAAACGGAAACGGGAACCTGGTTTTCTTTGAGGGAAGTAACCTGGCGTTCAACTTGGAGGATCTTTTTAGGGCTTCTGCAGAGGTTCTGGGGAAGGGTACTTTCGGTACAACTTATAAAGCAGCATTGGAGGATTCAAATGCAGTTGTGGTGAAGAGATTAAAAGACGTGTATGTAACAAAACGGGAATTTGAGCAACAAATGGAGGTTGTTGGAAGCATACGACATGAGAATGTGGTTCCTTTAAGAGCTTATTACTACTCCAAAGATGAAAAGTTAATGGTGTATGACTACTTCAATGAAGGGAGCGTTTCCTCGATGTTACATGGTAATTTGTAAACTTGGTGGAACATTTTGCAAACTTATTTATTTTGTTGTTGATGCTCTGAATGTCTGATTTTGCAGCAAAAATAGGAAATAATAGGAATCCTTTAGATTGGGAAAGCCGATTAAAAATAGCAGCGGGAGTAGCAAAAGGAATAACTCACATCCACACACAATCCGGAGGAAAGCTTGTTCATGGAAACATAAAATCCTCCAACACCTTCCTCAACCGCCACCGCCACGGTTGTATCTCTGAAATGGGCCTGGCGGGAGTGACGACTCCGGCGGCGGTGAGGGGCGGTGGCTACCAAGCACCGGAAACAATGGCCGCCAAGAAAATCTACCAAGCATCAGACGTCTACTCTTTTGGGGTTTTACTACTTGAGCTTCTCACCGGAAAGTCACCGGCTAATGCAACGTGTGGGAATGAGGTGGTGCACTTGGTGAGATGGGTGCACTCAGTGGTTCAGGAGGAATGGACAGCTGAGGTTTTTGATGTGGAGCTTTTGAAGTACCCCAATATAGAAGAGGAGATGGTTGAGATGTTGCAGATAGCCATGCAATGTGTTGGGAAGTCGCCGGAGCAGAGGCCGAAAATGGCGGAGGTCGTGAAATTGGTGGAGAACATTCGAATCACTGGTGCATCTAGCATAATATAACAACAGTTCACAATCGAAATTTATATCAATAAGAAATTTGGTGCATAACATGTTACGAGGCGTTTTGTTTTTATATGTGGAATGTAATATGTTATAGGAATCATAATATGTTACATGTTTGGTTGAGCATTCAATCTAAACAATTATACACGATTGCTCTTTTTTGACTTAATCTGGACATAATGACTTAATGGGTTAAGCAAAATAACATGGTACACTAACCTTTTATCTATTTTCCCTTTTTTTCTTTTTTTCCCTCCCAGCTTTTTCCATGATAACAGTGAAATTTGTTTTTTGAAATGTAAAGGTAAATGAACATATAAGGCTTGATGGAAAAAAACAAACCATGTAATATCAAATGTATTTCAATCATAGTCTCCTCCCATACTGAAATAGGTTATAGGTAGAATGCTTATTTATGTAAAAATGTGTTACTTTTAGGGCATCCTACTTTATGCAACAAAGTTGTGTTTTAAACGAAATTTTTGCCGGACAGAAATATGCAACATTGAAACAAAAAGAACTAATTTTACGTTTCTATCATATAATAAACATCATTGCATATTTTGTATAAAAAACAAACAACTTTGTTGCATAAACTTGGAATAAAGTGAAACGTTGTTTGCACAAGTGCTAAAATATAATACAAAACTGAGAAAACTCGAAATCATGTTCAATTGGGGTTAAATTGTAAAAGTCGGAAAGAAAAAAAAAATCATATTACACACAAAAATAAAAGAATTACAAAACAAGAATAACTACAAACATAAACAGCTCTTTATTTTTTCACAATTCTTGTTCGGATACCACCTGAAATGTAAGTAAATTAATAAATATAAGTTGTAGTTGAAGAAAATATAAATTTTTAAGTTGATGAATATATTTTAAAAGAAATAGGTTCACCTTCAACCTCCTCAAACTGAATTTCTTTAACTATCTCAGAAGTAGCATGGTACTCAAAACTGCAAAAGCATGACGACAGACACAAGAACTAAATAAGCAAAACACAAAAGGATTCAATGCAAGAATTAGCAATGCACTTTTATTAATTTCTTTATTATAACATTCTACATCATTATCATAAGTTTCAAAAAGTTTTCTCTTGCAAAAAAGGATTATACTAAATGTCTAAACATATACTTTTTGATGTAAAAAATAAAGCTAATTAGTTAGGAAATGAATACTAAGAATGGTGTTATGTGTCTGAGATGCTCTAAGAAATAAATTAAAGTATAGCTAAGTTTTTCAATTTTGGTCCAAAAAAATATCTCTTGCAATTTTGGTCCAAAAAAATTTCTCTTGCAATTTTGGTCCTCATTCGAGGTTCTTGTAACATTTTTGGTTCCTGTTCTAAGTAAAATGACTATTTTTGGTCCCTGAATGTAGCTGATTTTTGTAATTTTGGTCCCAAATGTATAATCATTTTCTTGGAATGCAAAGAGCTCAAATAAATTCCAAATTTGCAAAAATCAGCTATACAAGAAGACCAAAAATCTAGTTACATTCTAAATTAAAAGTATTTTGTATTAGAAAGAAATGACATAAATAAATGAAAGTAAGTTGCTATTTCTTCAAATACACGATGGATGATGAAATGACAAAAACATCAAAATGAATGCACATTACAAATTTAAGATTACCTGTTAGATAGGTGAACTTCCAATTCGTAATTTGATGTGTTCTTCATAGATTCCACCAACAGGCTTACAATCTCAGTCTTGCGAGTACTAGCCAAGAGAAGATCATACTCAGTAGGGACGATAATGGAAAAAAAATTATCACTTAATTCACTCAAACAAAGCTTCTCGACTGCAGCAAGGGCAATCCGTCTTTTAAGTGTATATGTCTCTTGATCAACAACATAGATGGCAAAATTGGTAATTACAAGAATTCTGCGTTTCATCTTTCCTGAACCTGTAAACTTGAGAACTTCATCAGCAAAGATGACTCCCCTGTCACCTGCATATGTTCAACTATCACTCCATGAAAAAAAAAAAAAAAAAAAAAAAACATATATATCTAATCGGCATATTGCTAATCCTGCTAGCTGCCTCAAGCTCTTTACTATCCAAAATAACAGACATCTGAATGCTCACACCAAATGTCTACCACGGGTAGAGTTGAACATATTGCATCTTGTTGTATTCAACTGATTCAGTCGAGCTACTTCATCATCAACCAGTTGATGAACTAAATTCCAAAATATCATAATTGAAAGATAAGCTAGTACATCTACAATTTGACTTTTATATTTGGAAGTGACTCAATTCACTTGCCTTGTTTTTCGAGAATTTTCATGAGATAGGGCTTGGAGCGAACATCAACATAATCACCTCTGAAACTTCTGGCAATAGATGCTTTCCTACGGACTTTACCTCCGGAGAAAGGATCGTGATCTTCTGTGATGTTTCCGTCAGACGGTGTGGGCTCATCGCTGCCGAGATCTGTTTTCTCCTTATCATCGTCTCCAGTATCGGAGGAGTTAACCTCGATTTGGATTCTGCGCCTTATCGAAGCAGACATGGTGGTGGATGCGAGTACGCTGCCTGACAACTAGTAAAAGAAGAGACGGTGTCTCCGCCGGCGGTGAATCGGCGGCTTGCTATACGGGCACTGGATCAGGTGATTAGATTTTATTATTTTAGATTGACAAAATTGCAAGAATGGTCGAAATTACCACTTTGGCCAAACAGATTTCGACTAGCATTTATGGTCCAAAGGTTTTCATTTTCTTGCCACTTTAGTCCAATTTACTTTAAACTATTTTGTAATAACAATTTTGCCCTTGGATTTTGTTTGTTCAGTTTATTTATTTATATAAATACTTTTATAATTTAAGAGAAATAAAAAAAGAAAATACATATATCTTTCTTTCTTTTTTTTTCTCTCTCTCACTCACTCACTCACACACACTCTTTCTCTCTTTCTCTCTCTCTCTCTCACTCTCTCTCTCTCTCTCTCTCTCTCTCTCTCTCTCTTACGCGATTATGTTCTTACCCAAAATACACACATACACACACTAATGGAACTCCATTACTCCATCAACCATCTTGATGAAGCACAGGTTATTACCAAAGAAGATAAGTTCATCGTTACCAATCGCCGCCCACAGCCACCAAATTGCCACCCACAACCACCAGTAAGGTAGCGTTACTGGAAACCGCTCACAACGCCTCCCTTATGTTCTTGATTTCTTGTTGATCACCCTCTTTCACGTCACTATAAATCACCCTCTCGCCATCTCCCCATCTTTTTCCTTCATGCCTACTCTCTTCCCTAATCAAACCTAAATTTCGATTTTGACCTAGATTTCTTCACCTTCATCTATAAAATCAAACCCAAATTTCTATTTTGAAAGCTCTTACCTCCCTGCTCTCCCTCTCGTTGAGTTCGTTGGAACAGCAAGAAATGAAGCAGCAGAAGCTGATGGAGCAACCCCTGCCACCACCGACGCTGCTATTATGGATCTATTGTTGTGGATTGTTGTTGTGGAACGAATCAGCAGAAGCCGCCAGATCTTTCTTCATATTCTTCATATCCTTTATATTCGGTTTCGAATTCTGCAATATTGATAATTAGGGTTTTGTGTTGTTCTATTTCAGATTCAGGTTGTTCGGGTTCAGTGTTAGTGATGGTAGGGGAAAGGACGAAAGGTGCTAGGAAGACCGACGATTTTTCTGGAGAGTGAATTTTCCTTCTAGGTAAGGGTCTGGGTTTTGAGAATATGTTTGTAATTTGAAGAATTGATGATTTGGGTCGGTGATTGATTCATCTTTTTCTGCTTCAACTTGTAGGGTTTCTGACTTTGAGTTATTTTGTTCTTGTTCTTAGGGGAAAGGGATGAAGATGGAAGTAGGTTTTAATTTGGAGGAAAAATAGCAGAGACTCTGATGTGTTTTTGATGGAGAGCTCGTTGAGGAAGATGATGGAAGAGAGGGTATGTTGGCTGTTATCTTGAGAGAGAGAGAGAGAGAGAGAGAGAAAGAGAGAGAGAGAGAGAGAGAGAGAGAAATATTTTCTTTTATTTTTTTTATATTTTTTTACTTATAAAATAATTAAATAACAAAGAGAAAAACAAAAAACAAATGGAAAAGGGCAAATCCGTCATTTTTAGATTTTTTAAACTGTTTTGGACCAAAACCGCAACAAAATGATAACTTTTTGACTATTGGTGCTAGTCCAAACCTGTTTGGCCAAAAGTAACATTTTTGGACATACCACAGGGACCATTCTTGCAATTTTGTCTTTTAGATTCAAAATTACTAAATGCTGAAATCTGAATTGAACTTTATGGTTTATGACAGTTTTGCCCCCATGATGTATCGATGGATGAGTTTGAGTTGTTTACAAGAGTAAACTCCAAATGTATAACGTAGTTTGTTGGATTTTTTCTTTTTTTTGTTTTGTTTTAGTTTAACTTTGTTAATGGTTAGGTAATTATTATAAACTAGAAAAGATTCTCCTGCGTTGCAGGGGTTGGAAGATAAGTTAAAAGTGAAATATTACGATTAACAGATAACAGAAAATACATTGCTATTTTTGTATTAACACTTCTGAGTTTTGCAATGATATATAAACTAAAATGCATAATTACATAAAGGGATTCGTTAACAGAAGTTACACTATGAATGGCTAGGTAATTATTATAAACTAGAAAAGATTCTCCCTGCGTTGCAGGGGTTGGAAGGTAAGTTAAAAGTGAGATATTATGATTAACAGAGAACAGAAAATACATTGCTATTTTTGTATTAACACTTCTGAGTTTGGTGATGATATATAAACTAAAATGCATAATTACATAAAGGGATTCGTTAACAGAAGTTACACTGTGAATGGCTAGGTAATTATTATAAACTAGAAAAGATTCTCCTGCGTTGCAGGGGTTGGAAGGTAAGTTAAAAGTGAAATATTACAATTAACAGATAACAAAAAATACATTGCTATTTTTGTATTAACACTTCTGAGTTTGGTGATGATATATAAATTAAAATGCATAATTACATAAAGGGATTCGTTAACAGAAGTTACACTATGAATGGCTAGGTAATTATTATAAACTAGAAAAGACTCTCTCTGCGTTGCAGGGGTTGGAAGGTAAGTTAAAAGTGAGATATTATGATTGACAGAGAACATAAAATACATTGCTATTTTTGTATTAACACTTCTGAGTTTGGTGATGATATATAAACTAAAATGTATAATTACATAAAGGGATTCATTAACAGAAGCTACACTATGAAGTTTGACTTTATGAATAAATGGTTGACCCGTTGGAAGTTTAAG